CTAGGAATGACCCTCATCTAGGCATTTGCAGGGTAGCTGATCTCCAGAATGACACAGCAGGGAAGGAACAGCCTCTGTTTCAAGTAGGGTGAGTCTCAGGAGAGGAATCAAAAGCAATCAGCCAAACTTGCTGTGATGCCCCTGCATTTAGTGATCCAATAAACTGAGAAAGTTTCAGCAGTTACTTTCCTGGAGGCTCTCTCTGGGGCCAATTACCTCTGCAGAACGGATAAGAAACACTAACAATTAAAAGTGCCACAGAGAGAGAGAGAGGTGTTTATACTCTGGTGAGGCTCCTAGCCACAGGGGAAATTAGGGAGCACCTGCATGGCCCGGATAATGAACAATTTCAAAAGAAAGACACAGGCACTGAGGACCTGGTCCCTACGGGAGGATGCTAAGGCCTGAAATGCTTAGAAACTTGAGCCTTAAAGAGGAATTTTCTGAACTGAAACAAAAATGAAGATGACTTTAATTTCCCAGAAGGCTCAGTGGTTAAGCTCTCATTATAGAAACTCCATGTGAGACTATGGAACTTGGGATGAGCCCGGATGCCACCCAACTAATGGACCAACCATATGGCAGGAGACCCACTTACAGAAAGCAAAGGACAAAAACAAAAACATAATCTAGGAGGAGCTTCTGATGAACAAATGGCCTTCTTTTGTCAGGTGTCTCAATAAATATTTTAAGTGTGGCCTGATGAGGACGTAAAGTCATGAAAGACTTGTCTGTTTAGAGGGGGCTGAGGTCAAGAACAATGAGTATTAGCTACCTTTGTGGTGCTTTCTGGTCATCCTATGGATGGGATACTTTTCTTTTGTATCTAACTTATGTCTCTTCTTAAAATATGCCTGTATTCTATTGCTCTGCTCTCAGGCAACTTCCACATCATAATCGTCTGTGGGCAGTATTCACTTGCTGACTGTTCTACTCAACTAACTCTCACACTTCTATGGCTACCAGTACAATATAAATTTACCATGACACACTTTAATATGATTTAGATTAAATCTCAATAAAACAAATCCTGCTTAACTAAAGGACAATCTAGAAATGAAATATCTAATGATTTGTGAAAAGCACTGAATAAGCTTCAGTGAACAAGCAAATTACTACAAAGCACTTTGTTAGTGGATTATGTCAATGCTACTGTATCTGGGTCTATTGTCAAATAAAGTGGACCACGGTGGTGCCAAGAAAGTAAAGGGATCCAGCAGCAGAAGAATTGAGTCTCTGTCAGGGAGCAGTTGTGGTGATATAGAAACAACACAGAACTTACAGAAATGGGACGTGAGCTTCAGTTCCTACTCTTTGACTTTCTGGCTGTATAACTTTAAGAAAATTATGTTACCTCCCTGAGGCTCAGTGTTTCCATCTATAACTAGGTAAAATGTGGGATAAAAATACCCTCATAAGACTGTGGTGGGGATTAAATGAATAATATTTTAGGAATATACATAATAACACGCCTGATACTTAGGTGAGTCTCTGTGCTGGTGAAGGGCAGGATACATGGGATTATTTTCACTCCCTCTTGAAATACCACCAACACGATAGTTAAAGAATTATTTAATATAGAAACACCCACAGGAATAAGAGAAAAGGAGAGGAGATGCCATAGACGAGATATCAATAAGATTTTCCAAAATTTTAAGTAGGTGTAACAGTGGTAAATAGCTTGGCAAACAGGAGAACTGAAGCCTGCATTTCTCCAGAGGAGAGGGGCTAAGACAACTCAAGCTGGGGTTCTCCAGAACATCAGAGGGGCTCAGAAAGTGAACGTACAAAATAGTCTTCAAGGCTGGAAATGGGTTGGCTGAAAGTCTGAAGAGCAGTGATTAATTCTGAAAATATCAAACCAGAGAGTCTCAGGCACTAAAAGACCTAACATACTAATAGTCAGGAGTCTCCCAGCAAAATGGCCAGAGCATTGAGTACCACCCAGTTGAGTCCATCAGTCGACAAGTTCTGCTTATACCCACAGAGTTTCCAATTAACATTTTTGTGTCTCATTCTAAAATAGGAAATGGGCAACCAAAGATCAGCAGCATTTGGCCAAGACCAGTATAACAAGGTGTAAGGCATGAGACGTAATGGATGTCAAATTGCAAATTGAACTTCAAGACATCCCTCAAAGTAGATAGCCATGGACTGTTCACATGATTCTTGAACCCCTCATGCACTGTGAGGATATAAAACAGGGAGATAGGAAGGGAAACTGAGAGAGGGATTTCTTTGGAGAAAGCTATGAGTGCTCTACCACCATCGCACAACCAAGAGGGATGAGGTATGGCATGGTTCCAGCTAACCTCAAGTCAAGAGAGGGGCTTCGATAGAGCCACTCAGAGAGCTGGATATATGTCCCGAGCCATCAGTGGGATATAGTTAATGGTATTTGACTCACTCCTGGAAAAAGGCCATGAATGAGTCTGGCTGAGTAGAGAGACACAGCTGTTAACTGACTACAATCTCACTGAGTATAAGAAAAAGGTGCCAGTTTCCCATAGTCCATATAGGAAAGTGTGAAAAAGATATCTGGGACCACTGTAATCATTTCTAAGAGATCACCAGGAGGGAACAATGAAAACCCAGCAAAATTAATCTGTGTGGAATGGGTCCTAAAATGGGCCAAGCAGAAAACAGCTAGCTAAGACAAGTGAAGGGTAATCAAGAGTTTGAAGCTGGACCTGTACTGAATCCACAAAAGCATCGGAGAAAAAAAAAAAAAGTTAGTTAAACATCTGCCAGGTCCAGAGAGCATGAAGCAAATTTATGATGGCACTAGGCAAGTTAGGACTTTCCTGCCCTCCAGGCTCATCACCGTCCCCTCCTATTTCAGCCGTGAAGGGGTCAGATATCAAGATTAGCAACAGCGGTGAGGGTGGTGGACGCTAAAAGCAGGAAAGGACGGATGAAGGGCCATAATGCCCTTCGCTGGTCACCAGCAGCTTAAAGGCCCGACCAGGGGAGAGTAACGGTCACTTTATTTTTTACTTGTTTATTTATTTTTAAAGTGGCGGTCACTTTAAATAAGTTGGATGCCTTAGCTATTACACAGATGGAATTACCCAAGGACTTAGTTTTGTGTTTTGTGTCTGAAATTGATTTTCTATTTATAACTGTTTTATTAAGAGTCATCAGAAAAGACGAGGATGGGACTGCCCAAGTTTTTACTTAGGAAAGAGGTGAATAGTTTCCCCACTGAGTTAATTCAAAAAGGACAGGAAACAAACAAAATAAAGAAGCTTTCTGATTCCACGCCTGAGTCATACTTGTTCCAAACAAACATAAAAAGAAGTCAGAAAAAAAAATCAAGGTAATTCAGAAAAAAGAAGGAAAAAAAAACTTGCAAAGAGAGAAAAACAGATCACACAAATAAGAACAAAATCTTAAAAACCTCAACCACAGAAGTTGGAAGACAGCAGCAACGTCTTCAGAATTATAGGGGAAAATAATTTTGCCTAGAATTCCATGCCCAGGCAACTTAAGGTAGACAACAGAATTACAAAATTTTCAGATATTTCAAGGTCTCAAAAATTTTACCTCCTATTCATTCTTTCCTAGGAGCTGCTCCACCAAAATACAGGTAGCAACATGTATTAAAAGGGGATCCAGGAAACAGAGGATCCAAAGAAAAAAGCAGTCAAGCAGTAAAAGGAATTCCCAAGAGAATGGCCCAGAATAAATGCTTCACAGCAGGCCTGAGGAGAAACCATTTCAGGCTGGGGTGGGAGGATGGAGGTCTCCTGGACAGACTTCTCCAAGACAAAACAAGTGGAACTGACCTACTACTAGATGCGGCTGGCCATTTTGAGAATGATCTCCCAGTTCTGTCACATAAATTACAGCTAGGTACAATGAAAATTAAGTTAGTGAAAAAAGAAATCTAAATATTAACTTCAGGGGGCGCCTGGGTGGCTCAGTTGGTTAAGCGACTGCCTTCGGCTCAGGTCATGATCCTGGAGTCCCGGGATCGAGTCCCGCATCGGGCTCCCTGCTCGGCAGGGAGTCTGCTTCTCCCTCTGACTCTCCCCCCTCTCATGCTCTCTCTATCTCATTGTCTCTCTCAAATAAATAAATTTAAAAAAAAATTTTTAAATATTAACTTCAGGAAAAAATTTATATGAGAAGGATACCATGATAGTAATACTAATTTTTACTGAGTCTCCATGTGCCAGGCACCATTCTAAACACTATATAGCCATTGTATCTTAAAATCCTCATAATTACCCTGTAAGGTAAGATTACAGGGTAGGAATTATGACTAGGCCCATTTCATCAATGAGGAAAGCAAGGTACGAAGGGGTTAAATGACTTGAATGATATCATATAGCTAATAAATACCGCAGCCCAGATTTGAACCATGTAGTCTAAACTCTGTGCTCTGTTGTAACCATAGGTCTGCTACAAGGCTCAACAATGAACAATATTTTCATAGTTGTCAATCTGTGCACATTGAACACTGGTCTGACCTACAATTATGACCTGATTATATACTGAGAGAATGGGAGGAGAGGAAGTATGTTGGGATAAGGTGGGGGAGTAAATCCTCATCTTCCCTGGTAGAAAGTTAATACAAATGATTAAAATTAGAAGGAAAAAAAAGTAAGCCTATAATAATTTAAGCATATTCCTTAAAATACACAAATAAGTAAAAGAAGAAAAAGCTGAAAAAATTTGGAGAGGATAACTGGATTTGGGGGTAGAGAAAGGAAAAGCAAGGGACTGATGCTTTTCACTATTACCGTTAACATACTTCAGCTTTTAAACTATGCATTCGCATTTCTTTGATTTAAGAGACCAATTTAAACAAAGTTTGTAAATCCTGGGGAAAGGTAAGGAGGGATGGCATCTAGTACCGAAATGGGCACTTGGACTACCAGGACTACCAGGACTACCAGGACTACCAGGACTACCAGGACTGCCAGGACTACCAGGACCACTGCAGCAGACCAAGGAAAAGCTCTGCTGGTCTTCTTGTAACTACCCAGGCGTACCTTCTGCACCAAACACCTCTCCGCAGTGAGAGCAGAAGAAGTGCTCTGGGTGCCAGGTTTGGTTCATTGCCGTCAGCACTTTCTGGAAAAAGAACACACGGAGCCATGTTAGAAAGCCCCAGAGCTATAAATCAGGGCCGCGGTGCGGAGGCAGGGGAAGGGGGGCGACTTACATCCAGGATGGGTGCAGCACAGTAAGCACAGCGTGGGGAAAAGAGATGGTGGTAGTCCTTGGGGCAGTAGGCCAAGCCACTCCGCTCAAAGAAGGGGTGGGAGCCAATCTCCTCCTTGCAGTGAGTGCAGACAAAGTGCTCCGGATGCCATGCTTGCCCTAGAGCATGGACCACCTGGGGAGGAAATAAAGCATGGCAGGTGATGGCAGCTGGGTGCTGGAGGGCCTACAGGTCACACAGTTCTGGACAGAACTTTTCACACAGTATTCCATGCAAACAGCGCCCCCACGGGGTTACACAACACGGAGGCCTAGACCCAGGTCCCACCTATGCGGTCTGGTGTCCATGTTTTACGGACAGTAAAAGGGTGCCCAGTTTCCTGACTAATCGTGCTGATGAAAGTCTGTAAATGTTCGTTACCATGACACTGCCCTGGAGGATGAGGGGATCAGAATCGAGCACAGTAGTGACAGACAGGGATAACTACAGTCTGGCCTGGAGGAATTCCTGGAAGAGGAAAAGGCCAAATGAGAGTTTTTATTCCTCTGGTCTGAACACCTCATCTCCTGCCCCACGCTGAGTCAGATCTCAGAGCCCATTATTGTGGTTTTGGTGAAGGATGATGCAGAAGAGGAGTCTGTGGCCATGATTCAGAGCTGAGTCAGCTGGAAGTTACCATCAATCAACTTGACTGGGAATACTGGGACGGAGTGGGCAGTGGGAAAGTCCCTCCCAGGACCAGAAGTACAGAAAGGCAGTTAAGAGTCACACCTGGAGTCAGGCTTTCCCAGTTCAAATCTTCCCTCTACCTCTTTCTAGACTTGGACATGTCAGTTAACATCCCGGAGCCCTTGGTTCCCTCGTCTTTACAAAAGAACAATAGTAGAGTCTCCCTTGAAGGGCTGATGGGACCATTAAAAGAGAGAATACTTGCAAAGCGCTCAGCTCAGTGCCTGGAGCACTGTAACGGATGAGTGATTATTAACTATTATGAAAATGTCTTAGGATAGGTGACAGAGCAATCCTTGGTGAGACAGAGACAGACATACAAGCAGCCATCCATGGCGGCAGGACCAACACCTCGGCCCACCGCACCTTTCCTGCAATCGGTTTCTGACAGGAAGCACAGTGGCCCTTGGGCACTGTGGCAACTCCAAGGTCCTGCAGATCCTGCTCCAAACCCCCCAGCATTGAGTCCAGGGAGGCCTTGGGATCTTGCTTATTTGCTGTGTGTTTCTTGCTGGCATCTGCTTTCACTGCAACCTGGCACCAGGGAAAGAACCATGAAAAAGAATCAGCTCATGAATATCTGCCCTCATTGGCATCTTCTACATGACTCCACAAGCTCACCCCTACTGACTGATGCTTTCTTCTGTACCTAACCTCCGGCCAAGGCACTGGAAGACTCCAACATTGTAACACCAATAAAAATGCTTCCATCTCCCTTTTATCCTAAATTCCTCGGGCCGGGTGAAACATGAGTAATCTTCCTCCATTTGTAAATCTTTTCTGACCATGGGAAATTGAGTGTATGAAGATGATACCTTTCCTCACTCCTACAATGACCACAGGTCAACAATTAATCATATCTTCTTTTTACCCATTTATTCTGCAATGTTTATTGAGTACCTAGTTTGTGCCAGTCACAGCTCCAGGCTCTTGGTTTAGAGCAACGTACATGGTGACTGAGGAGTCTGCCCTCATGGAGTTTACTTTCTCTGGGTGATAGACAATAAATGGATTAAATAAATGTATGATGTGATGTCAGGTAGAGATAAGACATAAGTTATGTATCAAGATAGACGTGCCAGAGGGTGGGACAGATTATTCCATGATGTTCTTAGGGGCTCAGAAATATTGAATCGGTGGGAAAAGCATTCCAGAGGGAAGGGAGGCCCAGAGGAAGGGAACAGTTTGGTACGTCAGGAGAAAGTCAGAAAGGTCAGGGTGGGGGGGTTGGAGCAGAGGGAGTGAGAGTAAGCGTGGCAGGAGAAGACAATGGAGAGAGAGGCAAAGATCATGTGGGGCCCTCATGGTAAACTCAGGTTTTATTCCAAGGGTGATGGAGCCTCTGGAGGAGTTTAAGCATGAGAGCGAAAGAATCTGATCCACGAGATCCCTGTGGTAGCTGAGTGAGGAGTTAAGTGTAGGCAAGCAAGAGTGGAATAAAAGACACTAGTTTGGAAGGAGATTATTGTTAACAGTTCAAACCAGAAATAATGACTTGGTCCAGCGTTAGGGGAGAAGGTGATGAGAAACTGTCAGATAAGACTAACTGATGGACTGGATTTATTTAAGCAACCCCCCCAAAATAGTCATTATAATTCATTCAAAGGAAAAGCCTCGAATTACAAAAAAGATGCGATGCCCAGCTTGTCCTTCATCACGTCATGTCCTGATTCTCTCTCTCTCAACTCCTTTCCGACTGGGCTACTACTACCATCGACCTAATACTTCCTGATCAGGAAACAGGTGCTCTCTACGGCCTCCACGGCATCAGATTTGCATGCACTAGACAGACATTCAAAGTCTCCCATCCGCCGCCCTCACTTTACCTTTCCAATCTCATCTTTCATTACTCACTAAAAGCCTCCATTGTTTGAGGCCAGCCAGGCTCCCTGCAGTCTCCTGAATGTGATTTGTTACTCTCTGCCCTCAGGCCTCTACGTATCCTATTTTCACTGCCAGGAATAACCTTGCATTATCTCACTAATCCAAAATGCTCATTTCCCTTCAAGAAACTTATCAACTGACAGATTTCCTTCCTCCTCTATTATATAATGTTACTTAATGTTGAAGAGATTAGTGTTCCAAAGGTTACCGTCTGGAAAGTCCAAAAGGGTCATCAATATGAAGTAGGTAAAAACACAATTTTATATGTATATACACATATACATATATACACACATATATCTATCCATATCCACATCTGTTTGCTTACATATTCCAGAATACTTCTGAGTGAATATATAAGGAACAGGGAAAGAGAGGTGCCTGGGTGGCTCAGTCGTTAAGCCTCTGCCTTCAGCTCAGGTCATGATCCCAGGGTCCTAAGATCGAGCCCTACATCGGGCTTCCCTGCTCCATGGGAAGTCTGCTTCTCCCTCTCCCACTCCCCCTGCTTGTGTTCCCTCTCTCGCTGTGTGTCTCTCTGTCAAATAAATAAAATCTTAAAAAAAAAAAAAAAAAGAAACAGGGACAGAATTGGATGGCTGGGGACAGGGCTGATAGGGAAATAGCTCACTGCAAACTTTTGCACTTTTGATTTTTGCACAGTGTGAATTATGGCTCATTCAAAAAATAAACAGGTATTTTAAAAATGTAAATAAACCATGACACACACTAAATCAATTAGGAAACACAATTAAAACTCCTAATGTAGATTTTTTTCCCCAGTATTTTCAGATATACAATACAATGAGGAATATACCCAGCTCTACTGTAGGCACTGAAGAAAATTTGTTCCTGACGTCATTCATTTGTTCCTCTAATATGTCAGGAACTGTGCAGGCATTGGGAGTCCAAAGGTGAGCCACAAAGATCAGGTTCCTGACATCCCCAGCGACACACCTTTTTATATACTGCCTTGCAATTATTTCATAGCCACTCATGTGTGCATATCAAATCCTCCAATTTAGAGTGGTTGAATTCTCCACCTTAAGAATTCTAGATGATTTCCCTTAATAAATTATTAAGCCCACTTCTCTGATTTCCACCCCCTGCCAGGCCACGTGAGCTCACCACTCATGCTCTAGAGGCTAGAACAAGGAGGCGGATTTTATCTCTGTATGGGGCTCAAGACTCCTCATCCTCCCTACTTTCAAAGCCATACTCTGATCTCCCTGGGTCTGCCTCTGTTTGCTCTCCTCTGTCCCATTCAGGTAGGTCTCTCACGGTCCCACCACATTGCATCCAGCTGTAGATGCCCATGCCCTTGGGGCTCATGCCAACTGGAAGGGCCTCTTCTCTCATCTCTTTGTGTCCAAACCCTTTCCATTCTTTGGAGTCCGTCCCACATCCCATCCCCACCTCTGATAAAAGTCTCCACATTCCTAATGTTGGCTGCACATATTTTGATAAACCATCTGTGTTTTAATCTACAAATGTTACACGGGCTTCTGCTTCATCTTACCAAGCACATTCCACATTCCTTGAGATCAGAGCCCGCATCGTATTATCTTTTGTGTTAATACATAATAGAAAGTTGAGTTCATCTGCTGAATTAAATTTAGTCTGGGAAAAATGAATGACAACCAAGAGTGCTGAAAGGGGACGGCAGAGCTGAGCTACACGGAGACACACTCAGGAACTGCACTCACCTGGGTCTGCATCTCACACAGGTGGGCCATGAGCTCATCCAGCTGAGCAGCTGCTGAGGTTTTAGGAGGATGTGGTGATTTCTTTGGCTCTTGGACCTCACTACAGGGAGAAAAAAAAAATCCTAACACATCAAAACTCAGATAAACGTTAAGCCACACATAAAATACCAGAAAATGCAGTTTTAACTATTAACCCCTTAGATGTGAGTAAAACTAGAGAGAGAGAGTATTTAAAAGTAGGTAGTGACTAAAAATCTGAAAAAGGTCTCCTTGCCTTTTGTCTCTATATCTCCGTTCTGGTCATCTCAAAAACTGACCATTGTTCTCAAGTGAAGAAAAGCACTGGACAGGTAGCTGGCAGGCCATTGTCCCCCAATGGCCAGGTGCAAAGCAGCTTCTGAAAAGACCTTTAAGAAGACAATGGCCCAGGGATGCCTGGGTGGCTCAGTCAGTTAAGCATCTGCCTTCGGCTCAGGTCATTATCTCAGGGTTCTGGGATCGAGCCCCGCATGGGGCTCCCTGCAGGGAGCCTGCTTCTCCCTCTCCCACTCCCCCCTGCTTGTGTTCCCTCTCTAGTGGTCTCTCTCTCTCTCTGTCAAATAAATAAATAAAATCTTTAACAACAACAAAAAAGAAGACAATGGCCCAATATACATTTTTTATTTGCAAAGCATTATTTTTGAAATTATAAAGTATTACACTTTCTCTCATTGTCAGATGAAAGATAAAAACTAAGAATAAAGAGCAAGCATCAGCAAACTAAGGTCAAATTTGGCCATGCCCATTCATTTACATACTGCTGCTTTCTTACAGAGTTGGATAGTTCCAACAGAGACCTTGTGGTCCAAGGTCAAAATATTTACTGTCGGCCCTTTACAGAAAAAGACCACTGAGAGAGTTTAGACAATGTACATGATGTTCATTTTACAACCATATAATTGTGAATAAAATGATGATTAAGATTTGGACCCAAGAAACAGAATACAGAGTCTATTCAAATACTTGCCCAATTGTTAGTAAATTTTTTTTTAAAGATTTTATTTGTCAGAGACAGAGAGAAAGCACAAGCAGGGGGAGCGGCAAGCAGAGGGAGAAACAAACTCACCACTGAGCAGGGAGCCCCGACGAGAGGCTCGATCCCAGAACCCCGGGATCATGACTTGAGCCAAAGGCAGATACTTAACCAACTGAGCCACCCAGGCATCCCAGACAATTGTTAGCAAATTAACTGTGTACGAGAGCACAGAATAAAAGCTCAATAAATTCTAAGAAGTAAATACAGACCATATTCTTCTATTGCTTTAATACAAATTAATCATAAGAAATCTACCCGCTTAAGAAAAAATAAAGCACTTCCAAATAATTCTTGTGAAGAAAAAAAATAAATTGAATTTTCAACCTATTTAGAAATAGCAATGAAAGCACATACACACACACACACCCTTCAAAGTTGAACCAATATATATTTTTTTTAGATTTTATTTATTTATTTGTCAGAGAGAGTGTGCACGCGTGTGTGTGGGCGCATGAGCAGGGGGAGGGTCAGAGGGAGACAGAGAAGCAGACTCCCCGCTAAGCAAGGAGCCCAATGTGGGACTCGATCCCAGGACCCTGGGATCATGACCTGAGTCAAAGGCAGACTCTTAACCAATTGAGCCACCCAGACGTCCCACCAATATGCTATTAACAGGAAAAAATACAAATGGATTTAAGTGCAATATTGAAAAATAAGAGACTAGAAGCAAATAAACAAAACATTCAACTCAAGAATCTAAAAAAAAAAAAAAAAAAAACCTAAAATAATTAAACAGAAGAACTAAAAGTGTAAATTATTGAAACAGAAAACAAACAGAAACTGAGGTTTTGGGGAGAATTGTGTAAATTTCCAGTACATAGAAAAATATGGAAAATCACCAAATAAGTTCTAGCAATATCACAGAAACTCAATACTAACACCAGACAAAAAGAGCACAGTGTATGTGTGTATGTGTGTATGCATGCATGCATGGGGGGGAGGGAGGGAAGTTCAATAAAAACAGCAAAAATGAGTTTTAAAAACATCCTGGCTAGATAGTGTTATGCCAGTCTTTCAAGTGTGGTTCAACATTAGAAAAAGGATTACTATAATTCATTATACCCAAGAACAGAGAAAAGCTTTATAAACATATTGATAGGTGTTGAAAAGCAGTAGGAAACAAATTCCACCACCATTCCTGTTGTTGAGGATCGAGGAAAAGAAGTTTCATAACCTGATAAAATATAAAATCTATAATGAACCTCATGTTTAATGTGCAAATACTAAACACATTTCTAATTAAGAGAAGAGCTCCGTGTTCAGCGGTGAGTCTGCTTAAGATTCTCTCCCTCTCCCTCTGCCCCTCCCCTACCTCTCTAAAATAAAATAAATAAAATCTTTAAAAAAGAGAGGGAAGAGAAGGACAAGGATCCTACTATCATTGCTGGTCTGCAATATTATTGCAGACTGCATTACTGAATGCATTTAAGAATACAAATAAGAGGTTTATACATTGGAAAGAAAAAGGCAAAGCATTCTCATTCCTATTTTCTCTTTTAAATAGATGGTATGATCACTTACCTGGAAAATGTAAGATAAGTGACTGGATAATTATTAGAATGTATAGAAAATACCAGGATGGTTACTAGGTATGAGAATAAAATGAGGGGGCGCCTGGCTGGCTCAGTGGGTAGAGCATGTGACTCTTTTTTTGTTTTTTAAAGAAAGAACATGTGTGTGGGGACATGAGCTGGGGAGGGGGCGGGGGGGAGCAGGGAGCAGGAAGGGGCAGTGGGAGAGAGAGACTCTTAAGCAGACTCCACGCTCAGCCTGGAGCCCTGCGATCATGACCCTGAGATCATGACCTAAGCGAAATCAAGAGCCAGAGCTTAACCCACAGAGCCGCCCAGGGGCCCCAGGGCATGTGACTCTTGATATTGGGGTCATGAGTTCAAGCCCCACACTGGGCATGGAGCCTACTTAAAATAAAAAAAAAATTAAAAATTAATTTAAAAATAGAAAAAGAATAAAATGAAATAATTAGTATCTTTCCTATAGACCGGTAGTAGCTGATTTAAAAATCCACTGGGAAAAAAGAACATGTTCATAATACCAACAAAAAAATTATAAAATATTAAAGAATCACTCTAATAAGACTTCTATGAAGAAAAACCCACTGGTAGACATACGAGATGCACATAAATGATGATACATAATATGATGTCAGTTTCTCCAGTTAAACTATAAATTCACTGTAATTCATACAGAAATCCTAATAGAAGTATTTAAGTTCATTAATAAGTTGATGCTAAAATTCATGGGCTAAAACACTCAAGATAATTTTTGGGGAAAAAAAAGAGATGAAGAGGGAAGATCTGTCCAATAGCTGTGCGTTCCTATAAATTGACAATAAAATTTGTGTGATGTTGGTAAAGAAACGGACAAACAGATCAAAGGAATGGAACAGAGAGAAAGCCCAGAAAGAGACTCCTGAACCATGAGAATTTTACATATGCTAAATGTGCCATTTCAAATAATCAGAAATAGACTATTAGACACAAAATGCATGACAACCTATCTGAAACACAATAAATTTAGATCTTTAACAAACTCTACACATGCATAAGTTTTAAATGAATTAAAGACATAAATTCATTTAAACATTAACAAAAAAGAAAATGGAGGACATTTTTTATAATTTGGGGTGATGAAGACTTTCCTAAGAAAGGCATAAACTCTGAAGTGAAGGCAAAAAAAAGAAAAAAATATCAATAGGGCTAACCTCAAAAAAATTTAAACATACATAAGTATTTAAAACATAAATAATATCCAAATATTAAAAAGTCTACAAATCAATAAGGCAAGCTAATAGAAACATGGGCTAGGGGATTAAAAGAAAAAAAGCAAGTTTCAGAAAAAGAAATTTAAATTTTTATTACCATATAAAAATATGTTCAATCTCAATCTTTAATATCCAAATTAAATAGTGAGATACCAATTTTTACCCATTAGTCCAAAATCTGAAAGACTGATAACATGCAGTGGTGGCAAAAGTCAGGATTATCTTACACATATACATTTACATACATCATAGGTAGCAATGTAAATTTATTATATCCTTTGCAAGGCAGTATCTATCAATATTTCATATGCATATACCCTTGGATTCAGCAATTTCACTTCCAAGATTCTATCCTACAAGAAAATGAAGATATACATAAAAAGGTATATGTAGAAGTATGTTCCTTAAGACATAAAAAAGTACAGTCTTTATGAACAAATTAAAAATAAAATAGACATATAGCTAAATAAATTATAGATACATGCTACAGAATACCATGCAGCTGCTAAAAAGAATGCAGGCATAGATTTATATGAATTAAGGAAGACTTCTTTTTTTTTAAAAGATTTTATTTATTTATTTGACAGAGAGACAAAGAGACACAGAGAGAGCGCACACAAGCTGGGGGGGGGGCAGAGGGAGAAGCAGGCTCCCCACTGAGCAAGGAGCCCAACGTGGGGCTTGATCCCAGGACCCTGGGATCATGACCTTAGCCGAAGGCAGACGCTTAACCAACTGAGCCACCCAAGCGCCCCAAACTAAGGAAGACTTGAAGATACATTGTTAACTTAAAAAAGCAAAGCCCACAACAATATGCAAACTATCCTTCCATTCATGTGAATTTATAAGCACATAAACGTTAAGTGTGACTTTGCATACACAAAGGTCTATAAGTAAACATCTGACAGCAGTTACTTATGGGGATAACAATTAATGGTGGTAGGAGGATACGTTCAAAGGGAGATGGTCTAACTTTTTACTCTGTATATTTCTGAATTCTTAGTTATTTTTACCATTAAAAGGTTAAATATAAAGTTAATGTAAGTATAGAAAATTTTAAAGCTGCAGAGAGATATAAAGAAAAAATTAAAATCACACTTAATTCTCCTTTTGAGAGGCAATTAATCACTGTGGACATGTTGACTTAAACCATTATGCCCTTCTATGATTGTGCCTAATTTTGGAAAATGAGAATGACCTTTTTTCATATTTTAAAGTATCTTTATGTATTTTCTTATCCAACTTCGCATCCATAGCTAGCACTTTCTGTCCACTCTATGTCAGGCCCTCCATAAAGGGTTTTACACATGTTCTCCTTAAATCCTTATAACAACCTTAAGAGCTAGGTATTCTCACCCCCAGAAGAAAACACTGGGGCTTAGAGAAGTAAAAAGCTTTGCTCTATATAATACAGCTGGTAAGTAACAGAGTTTGGGCCCACAGACTGCAAAGCTTATGTCCTCTAGCACCATGCTCAACTATCCTCCAAAATGATCTTTAAAGGCTATCCAGCTTTCAAATGTAGAATGTACCATACTTTATTAAACCAATCATTTATCACTAGACACCTAGATTGTTTCTGATTTTCACTGTTATAATACAGTAAATAAATATTTGCACCCATATTTGATTATTTCCAGAGTCAATTTTGAGAAGTGGAATTTGAATCATATAGGTAACTGACTCTGGAGTAATGTTGTAACCAACATTAACTAAGCTTAGCTAACAATCCACCAAACTGACTCTGACACTCTCTCTCTCTCTCTCTCTCTCTCTCTCTCTCACACACACACACACGCACACATGCGCGCAAAGCCATAAATAAAACCAAATATTGTAAGTCTTCCACTAAATATATTTTCAAAAATGAAAACATAGATATATTACTGTACTTATTTTTGTGTATTTATCAACCAGCAAAAAGGCAGAAGGAAAATACCTTCCTCTCTTAGGGAAAAAAGACTGTCTTTTGGGTACCACATGTCCCACTACTGACTTATGTTTGAGTATTTAGCTATAAGAAAAAAGTAGGAGGAAGTGGATATCTTCCCCTGCAAAGATAAAAGATTTTGTCTTTTAGGTACAACATGGCCTTCTGCCAGGCATAATTTTTTTTTGTTTAATCTAGAAACAAAAACGGTCAGGTATGCAAGTGCTTGATTTGGTCCTTGTTGGCTTCCAAGAAAGTGCAGGGGAGCTCCTCACAACACTTTCAGGTTATAATCCCTTAGTCATCGCTGCCACAGGCGTGTGTCTTGAAAGTACAAAAGGCAGCAGGGCTGTCGGCACATTCTCTGCTCTGCTTCCCCGTGTAGAATAAATGTAAAATGTAGCTTATATGGGTCTGTATGACCCTAAAAACCTGTCTCTCTCACAGTTGGGGCATCCTTGTGCTTACTCAAAAAAATTCTTACTGGTTTTTAGCAAGATTCCTAGAGCAGTATGGAAAGAGAAGTAGATCATATTTGTGATACCCTAATAGTAACTGAGTCAACAATATAATATTCTAACTAAGAATGGAAAGGCCTTAAAGAGTTGGTGATTACATCACTCCAGGAAGTGTTCCTGAAAAGAAAGGAACCTCAAAATCAGAACTCCTTTGAATTGTTCCCTCATGTCTTGAAGATGGTAAAAGTGCTCTGCTATGTCATGAGCAACAGTGTAATTCATGAGTCAGAGATTTAAATAATATCCAAATACAAGAGATGTGTTTAAAAGAATACAGACTCCTCACGTGAGGGGCTTCACTGTGCTGGAGTTTTCTCCTGTTCATTCCTCTGCAAATGTTTTTATGAATTTTTTTCTCCTCACTCTTACCAAAATTACTTTTGTTCATGTGTACATTTCTAAATTATTGTTCATACTGCTATTGATATATAACTACATTAGAAATATTATCACGTCACTATACTCGCAACTAGTACTGAATAGTTTCAAGCTTGACAGCAACATTCAGTTCACTTAAACAAGACAGAGGAAATTGTGAAAGTGGGACGCAGGAATCTAGTTTCTGAGTCTCAAGCTCTATACCTGCGAGTGTTTCCGGCTCTGAGTTATGCCAGCCATACGGATTTGTATCAGTCTATTACATATTGACTAGGCCACCTGGATTTCCTATCCATCTCCCACACAGATCTTCAGGGCAAGTATCACTCCGTACTTGGGGAGCTGTATCAGTCACGGCCCACTCAGGAAAATGCAAACATACTGGGAGTAACCAGGAGGAATTTAATCCAGAAATTTGATTACACAGGTGATGGCAGAACTAAAGAAGTAAACAGAAGATATTGAGGTAACTCAGAGATAAGCCACAGCAGGTAGCCATTAGGCCAAAGGGACAAAAAAAAAAAAAAAGGCAAAGTTACTAAAAGCTAGGGGCCAAGGCAGATAGGCACATGCTGGAACCACAGTGGCTCTGTCTCGCTCCAGCTGAAGCCATAAAGGAGGTGTAGCTTGCTGACCTGGATGACGCTGTGGAGAGAGACTAGGGGAAGAAATGTCCTGACTTGCCCTGCCTTTCGCCCTCCAGCTCTCTCCGCACAGTGCCTCCCATTGGTCAAAGCCAGCGAAAGCCAACTAATCCTGGAGCCTGGAAAACCCAACCGACAGGGGTCAGCTCCCCTGGAATACAGAGCAGAGCAAAAGAGAAAGAAATGGGAAAAAGATCAAAGACTTATACATTGGCATGCCATCAATTGATCACAATGCCAGATACACAGAAAAATCGCTGTCAGTCGTGCTGGCTTTTCTGTTCTGGGTGCCTGTGTTCACTAATATTTCTACTGAAGTCTTGGTTTCCTAGTTTTTAAAAATCAATATTTACTGCAAGCCTATGTGCACCAGGCACTGTTTTCTTGTTGTTTTGCTTGTTTTATCTTTTTTACAAGAAGGATGGACAGGGTGGTCTAGGGGCCATCTCCTGGAACTGGAATAAACTGGCAATTATATTCATAAACTGGCCTTACTCCCATCGAAGTAGAAAGAGTCCTCAGGTGAGAAGTTATAAAAAGACTTCATGATAACACAGGTCCTTCCCTTATTTGGCGTCATGTGTCTGCTACTGGCTGCAATTCTAGAACCAAATAAGGTGTGGTGTGGTACTCTTTACCACGCATGAGCCTTTGCTAGCTTGTTTCCCTTTTAATTTCTTAAGCCCTTCCATTTGTTTCCCAGAAAGCTGATTTTTTTTTTTTTAAATGACAAGCACTACCTAAAGAGAGAACAAGAAAAGCAGCCTTGGCCAGAAGAAATGATTTAGTAAGTGGGTCTGTTTCAGTATGTAATGTTTTTAAAAGGAAACCCCCTTCCCTGGCTAAATAAATCTTGAGCAAATATAGAAAGAAGACGTACAGATTCATTAGAAGTACATATTCGGTAGTATGCTGCAGAGACCCTCTTGTCTCAGTTTGACCCTGATCCTAGCTCTGGTTTTGTTGGCATCTTGCTGAAATCTCATTAGGTACTTCCTGTTCCATGATCTGGAGCATGCTATTTAGAGTAGCCCGGCCAAAACATGTGTGGTGACTCAAACTATTTACACTTTTCTCAGGTGGTGAAGGAAATAGCAGAGCCCACCAGCCTGGACAACCCATCTAGAAGCCACGTACCCTGAGAAACTGCCAAGTGAGCTTGGCAGAATTCCACCTCTGCTCAAACACTGGGGAAGAGGAGGAGGGACTTAGCAGGAGTTCTAATAACGTACACACGCAAAAGCATCCAAACACAGATTGATAAAATTATCTAATAACTTTAATTTTTTTAAGTATTTAATAAAAAACATACCTGTAGATATTGTGCTCCTGGATATGGGTAGTATACACGAGCTGCACCTAAGACATGTAAGTGACAGAGAAGAGCAGAGAATGAGTGTCTGTTAGGAGAATGTTGGCACTCATCTACACCCAGAATTAGGGGATGTTTTTAGCTTCTAAACGGGACTGGTAACTAGCGTATCTCTGAGATCTTTCACAAGGCAGAGGAATAACAGCCATCCCACAGCAAAAGGCCACGTTCTAAGCAGAGTAGTCAGCAATGGGACCAAATAATAATGTCCCTCTCCCTGCCCCAAAAGCACTGAAATCGAGAAGTTGATCGTACTCACATAGGAACCACAAAACAAACAAAATGAATCAGAACAAAGCCCTTTAACTAGACAGGATGGTGTCTAGGGGAAGACTATAACACAACTAAATTTAACATACAAAAAAAAAATAATAATGTGTGTCTCTAAAGGGTAGTTGACCAGCAACTCACTATTTATTGAACAAATATTTATTGAATGCCTGTCATGTGCCAGGGCCAAGGATGCAGCAGTCAAAAAACAAAACTAAACGAACAAATAAAAATTGTCTATCCTGACCTTACATTATGATGGTGAGAAACAGGTAATAAAAACATTAATAAGAAAAAGAATAAATCCATTAATATGTAAAACTCATCAGGAGGTGGGAGATGAGAAATGGGGGAGAGATGGCAATTAAAAATATATTGATCAGGGAAGGACTCACTGAGAAGGGGACACTTGAGTGAGGATTCATAGAAGGTGAGGGAAGTAAGCAGGTATCAGGGGGAACACGGTTCAGGGGGCCAGCACCCTGGAGCATCTGTGGAACAGAAAGGAGGCCAGGGTGGCCTGCACAGTGAACTGGTGAGACAGGGATGGGAGTAAAAGGGGCCAGATCAAGCGGGTAGGGTGACCATATAATTTATTGTTCAAACTGGGATGTTCTTGAAAGTGAACGAGGGGAAGGTACCAAAAATAATACTCTATAGTTTTTTAAATATATATTTATTGACCAAAAGTTTGGTTTTATTGTATTGATGGACCTACAAAATAATTCTGTTGAAAACTTATTTTCAAAATAAAATTTTCTAGAATATTTTTAAACGACACATAGCTAAAAACATTAATTTCTTTTAAGATTTATTTATTTATTTGAGAAAGAGAGTGCAGGCATGCGGGGGAGGGGCAGAGGGAGAAAGAGAATCTCAAGCAGACTCCCCACTGAGTGCAGAGTCTGACTTGAGGCTTGATCTCACGATCCTGAGATCATGACCTGAGCCAAAATCGAGTCAGATTTTTAACCAACTGAGCCACCCAGTCGCCCCTAAACATTAACTAAAAAAAAAACCTTTTATATTATTTGAATATTTTTAAACAGCACAGTAAATAATTATTCTTGATATAGATTCAAATCCCTTAATTGGTTACCTAGCCATTGCTGTCTCTAACATTGTGATGTGGAAATTTTTCTGAAAGATGCCTTTTTTAAATCTGATCTTATTATTTTCAAATTTTTAATAAAATTGCAAACTTCTGCAGAGCTGCATTTTATAATTAATATATTTTGAAGTTGTTGACACTTTTAATTGATGCTTCTCTATAAACCATAATTTTTTTAATTAAGAAAATACTCCCACTCAGCTGCTGCTAATCCTCTAAATTCAGGGCATATTCTGCTAAATGGAGAATATCCTCAATTGTTTCTCATATTAAAATGTATAAATATTTCTGCCCCAATATTTTCACAGGCGCTGTATTTCTGCCTCCATCCGGAGCACCTTTCTTCAGTAATGTTTTTACAAGATGAGCTCTTAAGTTGTCTCTATTCATGATTCTTTTTAACATTTTGCCAAATGTAGATACTGCAAAATCATAGGCCTTCACAATTCCATCCCATTCTGGTGGAGAATATAAATTTATCCAATTAAAATTAGAAACTCCACCAAAGGCAAGATTTTTCCAAAGCACGATTTTCAAATTAGGTAATTAAACCATTTGAGCTCTCATCTTTTAACTTGTTCAGTTCCTCCCCAGCTTTTGTCAAGAGACATTTGAGCCCTTTCCTTTTTGCAAGCTTTGTTTTACATAATTGCAACTTGCTAAACGCTTCAAAGCTGAATTTTCATGCTACATTCACTGAATAATTTGATTAAATATTTCTGACTGATCTTGCACATAATGTAACCTATATTTAAGTTGCTTTACAAAGCATTTTTTCAAAGGCTCAGGCATTTCTAAAATCTGATGATGACAGGCAACACAGAAAAAGCATATGCAACCATACTGAAATGTTTCTGTATTCAACATCAGCTTCTGTCACGAGAGCTTTGTAGATGAGTTATACATGTACTGTGATTATGTAAATATATATTTGTAAATTTTGACATTTGCAGTTTCTAGTCTGACTGGTGGAATCCTGCAGCTTCTTTGGATGCAGTCATGAATTTTGTGTACATCACAACCAATTCCAGGCACGTTTCTGCTTCATAGGTTTTTAAGTCTGTAAAGAACATTTTTTTTATCATAAATCTGTGCTCCACCAAAATTTATATTCATATTACCACCAAAAAAAAAAAACCCACTTTTTCTTCAATATTGAACTTCTCAACTAAATTTACAATGGCATTAACAATATCGGATGTTTCAATTCTTTTTGACAGAAGAATGAATTTCCAAGTACTTTACTTTGATCCTTTGGATTGGATGAAAAAACGAAAGCTTTTGGAATTAACAAACGTTTTGACTGAGGTGGCACTGATATAAAGCTGACATTATTTGGTGGTTTACAAAGGGCATCAACTCAATCATCACGTTTACACTTTAGTTACAAGCACAAGATAACTTGAAACTGACAATGAGCAAAACCAATTTAGAGGTGTTACTTGACCCAAATGGAAAGGTGTGCTTCGCCATGACATGTAGACACACCTCCTGCAGTTGTACATGTTAAATCATCGGGCACACTCTTCTTAAACTATTAACTTCTGAAGTAGATGCTGATGCTTCTTCCCCATACCTGTGTTCTCCTGACTTCCAAGGGGGCAGTAATCTATTTCCCTCCAGGGTGGCCAGGAAATGTTGGCAAATATTTTGGGCAAATTACACATTTCCCATCAATTTCTTGAGAAAACTAAACATGTAATTTTGGATTTGGTTTTCGTTTGAGCCAAAGGCTGCTCAAAGCATCTACTGCAAAAATAAAAACATTGCCAAATAATAAAATAAATAGCTACAGCTTTACATATACCATTAAGGCCAAAACTGCTTTACCGAGAACTTCTAGATTATGCTACACTCAACGGCAAGAATGCTTAGCCTCTATCCCCTAAACATAATTTGTATGACATTAAGCCAAAGTTTCCCATGTTTTTTTCTGATCCTGAGGAGGATCTATGCACCTCATGAGCACGAGTGGTGGTATACCAAGTGGCCAGCTGGGGGAAAAGCCTCAAAAGTTTTCCTGCCACCACCTAACACCAGAGGAGTTGGCTGTTCCTGACTGATTGTGCTTAAGCTCTTAGCTTTAACAACCAGCACTCTGCATATTATCCCTGAAAGGGTGCTTACCGGTTAGGATTTGTCTGAACAGGATCAGGGAAAGAAGAGATGAGTTATCATTAGCCATCTTTTGGATTTAGCCATAATAAAGTTAGAATTCTGTTCACTGAATATATTTCACATGCTACTAGATGAGACGTTGGAAGAAGCCAGAAGAACCAAATGGAGGTCTATCAACCCAACCTGGTTTACGTTAGTGAAAATGCTAACAAGAAAACTTCATAAAATATGGAAAATCTACAGTAAATGGCAAAGCCAATAATAGAATGTTGAGAAAACAAGCAAAAACCCAGGGCTCTTCCGAGTGAACAAGGACATACAGTCACCCCACTAAGGTCAGCATAAAGACCATGGCTTTTACTTCAAATGGAGATGGAAATTCACAGTGGGGTTCTGAGTAGAGGAATGATGAGATCTGATTTAAGTTTTACGGGATCACTCTGGCTGCTACTCTGAAAATAAAATGCAGGGGGCAAGTGTAGCAAACAAGCTAAGAGCCTGTGGCTGTGATCTTGCATTGAGGAGAAAAGACAATAGCTTCCTAGGAGGGAAATAAATGTGCATCCTTAAAACTGTAAATATGAGAAAAAAAAAAACTGTATATCTGTAGCAGAAGGAAAGAACAGTTAAAGGGGGAAAGAAACACAGGCTCAAATTTCAGGTCCATGCAACCTGTGATTTCATACCAAGTGTGCAAGGATGAATCAGAATACTGTTCAAAACACTGCATATGAAGAGTATCTACTTAATTCCTCTTAAACTAATTCCATTTTCATCAAGCAACTTCCTAATTATAAAGTAGATTCATGTAGACTTACCAACAGGAAGGGGATATACGAATCAGCAAATACTGTTCTCCATTCTACTTGATGGTTTTGACTCTAACCAGAAATTAATAAATTGGATTTCTGGGTTTTTCTTATATACCATCTCTTATGAGTATAGCTTGTTTGTGTTGGTTCCCTAGAATGTCATCATCTGTAGGTACACTACTAATTGAGTTTCCTAATACATTCAACAGAAAATAAGACCTGGAAAGTTGTGACTTTAAAAAGTCACCCTGAAAAGACTTGTCTGAGCTGCCACTCGGCCTTGCCCAGGTGACCCCCAGTCTTGGTGAGTGCCACTCCAGTCAAACCGCAACATGCAGCTCTGATGCCCAGATAGTCCTACCAGAATAGTCTGAGTAAAATAGGGAATACTGTGTTACTATGCCCTCATTAGAAAAAATGCAGTTCTCAAAGGCTTACTCTTCTATGATTATTTTCTCAATTCTCATCCTTTCCAAAAACAGCCACCTTCAAGTTATCATAGAGGGATTTTTCTTTCTCTTTCCTGGATACATGATTCCTCCTTCACATCATTTTATGTAAGACACAATTAATTTTCAGAAAGGCACTCAAACATGTATATTCAAGGTACTGCAATAAATGAAAAGTTACCGGCAAGGGACTTGCATCATTCTGAACAGAAAGGGTCTCTGAAGTCTCAGTAAGGTTACTCTCCTTTCTGGAGTGCTGATCCAGGGAAAGAGGAGCTGGGCTGGAGGATTCATCACTGTCTTGGAGGGTGGAGCGCTCCAGTTCCTCCAATAAGGCATCTATATCGTAAGATACAAGAGAATCATAATACAGAACATGGGATGATTCCTCTTCTGGGATGATTTCCCCCTTAAATATCGCTCCTGTGCCTCCATTCACCTCCTTCTTCTCTTGGGTTAAGGCTATCTTCAAATATCTTCCCTTACTCTTTATTTTACTTCAAGAATGTGGTCTATTCTCCCAGAGGATGTTTAATGCCTCCACATACTGTGACCTATTTCCTATGGCTGCATCCAATTTCACAGCATCACTCAAGCATTTGACTTCTTATATTGCAGGGTATTAATTTTTATCATTCATTAAGGGTGGGTTGCCCACAAAGATCCCCAATTAGAAAAGAAGTAAATCCTATATATTTTTCCTATCAGAAAAGTGTAAGTAATTACATTTTTTTCTAAATGTACCAAGACAGTAATGCTTCTTTTTTTAAATTTTTAAATTTTATTATGTTATGTTAATCACCATACATTACATCATTAGTTTCTGATGTAGTGTTCCATGATTCATTGTTTGCGTATAACACCCAGTGCTCCATGCAGTACGTGTCCTCCCTAATACCCATCACCAGGCTAACCCATCCCTCCACCCCCTCCCCTCTAGAACCCTCAGTTTGTTTTTGAGTCCATAGTCTCTCATGGTTCGTCTCCCCCTCCGATTCCCCCCCTTCATTTTTCCCTTCCTGCTATCTTCTTCTTCTTCTTCTTTTTTTTTAACATATAATGTATTATTTGTTTCAGAGGTATGGGTCTGTGAGTCAACAGTCTTACACAATTCATAGCGCTCACCATAGCACATACCCTCCCCAATGTCTATCACCCGGCCACCCCATCCCTCCCACCCCCCACCACCACTGGAGTGGTGGGGAGTAATGCTTATTCTTAACTTGATTATTTTTTTCTTATATCCCAAGCACATAACAAAATTTTCAAAACAAAGTAGAAGTATTCTGTCTTTTAGGGCATATAGGGTAAAAAAAAAGGGGGGGGGATAAAGGAGAAAATAGATATTGCAAAACCAAGCAAGAAGATGTTGCAATCCAAATCTTGAGATTTGTTTCTCCTGTAGTTTTCTTGGAAAAAACCAATGCACTTTACAAGTATCACACTACCACTTTTCTGTTATGATGAAATTAATAATAATTAATAAAAATTTACACATTACAGGCACTATGCTTAGGAATTTATATATTTAATTTAGTCACCCTAATGCTTTAAGGCAGGTGATATTATTGTCCTTATCTTGTAGATCAAGAAAGAGACTGGGGCTCCTGGGTGGCTCAATTGGCTAAGCATCCAATTCTTGATTTTGGCTCAGATCAGGATTTCAGGGTTGTGAGATTGAGCCCCGTGGAGCCTGCTTAAGATTCTCTCTCTCCCTCTTCCTCTGCCCCTACCTCCCCCCTCCCTCTAAAAAAAAGAAAAGAACAAAAGAAAGAAAAAAGTAGTGTCACTGCTAGTGATGCAGATCCTGTCTGATCCTGGGCTATCTGATCCCAGCCCCTGCACTAACTTCATGTCAAAAATTCCAGTCCCCATCTTCATGTGGATTCTCAGGATCATCCTGGCATGATATGCTCTTCTCTGAAGCCATTTCCTCATCTACATAATGAAGCAATTCTATTACAAATTTTTTCAAATTGTGGGCTGAGACCCATTAGTGGATCTCTAAGTGGATTTTTTACCACAGGTCATGATTTTTAAGTTTGCAAAACAGTGGATTCTATTATTTGACATTATTTGATTCCTGCAGATGAAGGGCTATAGGGAAATATTCACCAATGAACATGACATTATCTGATATTGCTTTAAAATAATCCAGGAGTGAAAGGAATGGGTGGGTGTATTAATGAAATAAGATTGGCCAAGAGTTGATGACTGTTAAAGCTGGTTGATGGGTATACTAGACTTCATTAAACTATTTTCTTTACTTTTGTATATTTTAAAATTCCTCATAATAAAAGGTTTTTAAAAAGAGAAAACTAATGTAGAAAGAGAAAGAAAAATTTGTTTTCTCATAACTTTACTAGCTAGATTGAATGCCAAACTTCTGGGTTCCCAATTTTTGTTCTGTACCCCTCTATTAAGATATAGCCCTTTTCTATTTTCTAAGCTTTGCTCCAATCAGAAATCATGGATCTTCTTGTATTCAAAATAAAAAGACATTTACAGTAAAGATTAGGGGAGAGGGGAGACCCCCTGTAAGAGAAGCAAACCATATCTCTAAGAGGAAAAGGTTACTTTTAGAAGCACCAGTGAACCAAAGTTAGTGAAACTCTACCCTCTGGGTCATGAGTTAACAGGCCTTTCTCTTCCTGTTTCCTAGGAGTGCACATAACACCAACACCCAAGATTATCTTGCCTTCTGCCAAATTCCATAATTTGCAGATGACTAATTTCAGTATGACAAATGTGGGTTTATAAGGGGTGGGGGGAAATATTATACGGAAAACTCTGTAGTCCTTCCCTATAGCCCTTCATCTGCAGAAATCCGATAATGTCAACAGTAACATGAAAGGAATAAAGTGAGGTCTCTTGGGGGATCTCACTGGATTGGAATGATTTCATTCAGAGCCAGAGTCTGCTCCTGGTTCTCCTTTATCTAGCATCCCCGAGTAATGAAGGTTTAGGTAAAATCTGCTGGGTGGAAACAAACCATCAACGTTGGAGGAAGTACTGCAAAAAGGAAATATCCGCCTGCCTTTGCTGACCTGTCTTGCACCCTATTTCTCTGCAGCAGGGAAGAAAGACCCACCCTAAGTCTTTTGGGTAGTTACTGAGCTGCTGACAATCTGAAGAAACAGGTGAGGTTTAGCCACCCAGATAGATTATATGAATGTTACCTTCCAAACGGCTTGGTACTTTCTACATTTCTGGACCAGATTTCTCTACCATTCATCCTGCTCAAGTAGTGCAAAACTGTGCAAATCTAATTTTTAATTTTTTAATTATCTGGGTTGTTCTATTGTTTGGAACACCTGAGCCAACGCACTGCTAAAATAGGAGATTGCCTTTAGCTTAATCAGTTTTGGTGTCAGGGGCTCCTGAGAGTGATATTGAACACATTTATTTTTTTCCTTAGTTATCTCATTGGGAAAAAAAAAGTGGACAATACTTATTTTAGAGAGTTGCTTCAGACACTAACATGATTAATATATGCAAAAATGTCAAGTTTTAGTTTAAGTCACTAAATACGTATTACTTCCCTTTTGAATGACCTGCATGAAAGCCATTAGGTATTGCTAAAATAAGAAAGAAGGGCTAGATTCTAGAGCACTGGACTTTGAACTCAGGCAGAAATGTGAACTTCCCCAACTCTGACACAGTAAGAATCTGGATTCTACTCCAAGTCTAAAACACATTCTACCCCAAGCATTAAAATAGACTTTGCCTCCAAAACAGTTCAATATTTACTAAATAACACCTTTCCCTCTTCATTAACATCTCTTCCCTCCTGTAATTTGCCTATCTTCCTTTCTCTGCTCCTCTAGCCCTCAAATTACACTCCAAACAATTAACAACAACACAAAGACAATATGCAAAATATGTTTTTCGTTGTTGTTCACACTTTTGACATACCCCAAACATACAAAAACCCAGAACATTGTGGAATTAATACAGCTTGGAAATTGAGTAAAAGGTTAGTGACTCAGTGTTAGTAAGGATGCCAGCAACAAAAGTCAGCAAAGGATAAGGAATGAATCCCAAGAATGACAAACCTTCCATTACTCCAAAGATTGGAAATCAGGGATCTGTCTGAGCAATGTGGCCAATTGTTTCACTGCTGGTTTTAATTGTTTGAAATGGAAAGAGTATCATATTTGCAGGCCACAGTAATCTGTTCCTTCAGAATTCCTCTGAATAAAAAGCTTAGCAACAGAATCATTGGAGTTTTAGCACTAATTCTCCTTGATTTAATACTAAACCATGGAACAAATGAAACTACCCTGGCCTTTGTCCAATGTTTACAGATGCCTCATTCTTGTTCTTCTATTCCATTTCTTCTCCTCTCCCTTCTTTTTTTTTCTTCCTAAATCACAAATCTGCAGGTGCCAACTGTGTGACCACCCTATGACCTGCAACAGCCCCCAAGAGGCAAATAATCATAATAAAATGACAATCTCAATCACAATTTGGTCCAAAAGTATTTGTGCAGTTTACTGTGGTGAGCACCAAACTCTCAGCCTATTTGTGCCACTGAAAAGAGTGAACCTATAGTTCCCCAAAACAATCATAGTTCCTCATGCTTCACTCTTGGTTGGGCTGAGGTCATGAGAGAAGTGGAAACAAAATCTTCCAGCACCACCCTCCCTCTGGCTAGAAGTACACCCCACCACAGAGATGGCAGCCAAGTCTTCATTCCCTCAGAGTTTCTCCTCCAAGAAGGTCCTCACTCACCCAACTCTTCCATTGTCACACACCCAAGATGCTCTGGTCCCACAGGTTGTGAGGAACTGCTTTGGCATGTGCTGAAGAAGAGGACCGCAAAGGAACTAAATGAGACAGCGTGAAGCAGCCTCTATAACCCTTTTTGGTTCCTGTATTTGCTTAGCACTTCCTCTCTTTTGATTTGGTGAGTTTCTTTTTTTTTTCTTTCTTTCTTTCTCTCTTTCTTTCTCTCATTTCGATAAGTTAGTTTTGAAAATGGGACATAGAAAGGTGGGTAGTAGGATTTGAGTTCTGTTACTGCATTGGTGAGGGTGAGAAAGATTCAAAATTAACTTTAAAAAATTGGGCACCTACTATGCGCCAGGATTCATCTTGAATTCATGGGATGGCAGATTTGCACTTGTGTTTTTCCCCAGTGTGGGTATCCCACTGTGACTGTGCATCAGAAAACCTACTGTATGTGTGTGAAGTGTGTGTGTGTGTGTGTGTGTGTGTGTGTGTGAAAGCTGATGACCATGGAAGTGGTTGCCTTCATAAAATTTCCATCAGAGTTCACCAGCACCCAATTCATTTTGCTGTCACTATTTACTTAATGATCCAGAAATTATGCTTACCTCCTTTCCTGAATAGACTGTAAATCCATTAAAAGCAGGGCTGAGTAGCAGTCACATTTGGATTTTCAGGGCTATTGGTTATTTCTGTGGTCCAAAACACAAACAACTATAGTGATTATGAAGAATGAAACTGGAAGACAAGACACAAGGTGTGTTAAGCTGCAGATGCCTCAGGGAAGCACAATTTCTGCCTAGTTATGTTGCCTAATAGCAGTTTCTCTGAAAAGGGACTCTGAGATTAACTTTCACCTTTTCTACCACTGTGATTTTATTCACCTTGAATTAAATAAGACATTTACAAAAGGCCTACTATGAGAAAGCAGTATGTAAAGAACTGTAATTATGGCTCTGTGAAATGTAATATTATCTCCATTTTTACCAGTGGTGAAATAGATTCAAGGAATAGTAACTTGCTAAAGATAACAGAATTATAGGTAGCTTTACTATTTACTATAATCCAGATTTAGTTTCAATCCCTGTGATCTTTCCTCTGCAATACGTGGTCTTTTTTTAGGGTGATGTAAAGGAATCATTCATTCTCCCATTCCATTGTGATGCTAAGCTTTTTTTTTTCTTTAATAAAAAGGAGATTCCCACTCTGCATTACTTTGAGCAGCCATTGGATGTCAGTGCTGTTCCAAAAGTCTGTTCCAAAAGTCCAAATGGGTTTGAAAAAATTCCCATCCACACTAATCCATAGTTTTTACAACTGAAATGCCACTAGTCCTATGAAAGTGCAGAACATTTGATAGCGAATATAAAACATTTGCCTAATCTATGGTGGTAACTGAGCCAAAACACCGAGAGGAAAAATGCACTTCAGCATTTGGCTTGCAAATATTAGACTCTCTCTGTAGGTTAAATGAATGATTAATGTGAAATTTATAACTGGATCCCTAGATCTTGTTTCCATCCGCTTTCTGGGGGGGGGGGGAGGGGAGGGTGGGGACACACGGGGGGTTAACCCCAGGAGCTTTATTTTCCAGGGGTAAGAACCGTTCTTTCAAATTTCTCCTTGATTATAGTACATGAAAGGAAGAAAGGAAGGAATGCTGGAGGCCCACTGCTGTCACTGAATGCAACTTGGAAAACAAATGGAAACTCCCATTTGACGCATTAGAGTAATTTAGTTGCACGCGCTAGTGGGCAGAAAAGTAGTTTTTGATAAAGCTGCTATTCTGACTGTGCTTCCTGTGCAGCAGAAACATTCAAAACCACAAAAGCCAAGTGGCTTCGAGGCAGGGAGCACGAAGGAGGCCTTCGGTTTCTGTGAGTAGGTCACAGAATCACACTAACAACCCTTCCCCCTTCCCTGCAGCCCAGGGACCACAGCCAAGTTAAGCAGCCGACGCCAGCTCCTTGGCACCGAAAATATCTAGTAGGATAGCAACTCTACAATTCTTTCCAGACTTTTATTAAGAACCAAATGAGTGGTGAGAATTGTGCTACGCCCCGAACACCCGACGGATCCAGATTCAGTCCCTGACCTCCGGGAGATCACAGGTTACTGAGTCACACACAGGATGACGAGGCGAATACTGCAGGCATGAATGCTAGGAGGTGCGAAGTAACCAAGCCAAACTAAGGGCTACTAACGTGGCCACCCAAAAAATGTTTCGCCAACACCAACTTAAAAAGTCAGGAAAACCACCCCAAGCTATCCCGACCAGCAACTAGCTCGCCATTTCCGCTGAGATCTGTGCGGGCGTCGCGGCCTAACCCGGAAATACTACCTCCCTGAAAGAGCAAACGCTGACCGCAGAAAGAGTAAACTACCTTTCCCGTCGTGCATCAGTCAAAAACCTCCCAGCATCCTCTCTGCCTCTGGTTTCTCATCTTTTTTTCCTAAAGCTTAGGCTATTTAGGACTTCATCTCCCAAGATGCCTTTTGACAAGTTAACCCTGCGCGTGCGCCAAGAGGAGGGCCCTCCTTGCCCTCACGACCCCGCCTCTGTTCTACCGCCGCCATTTTTTCAGAGACTTTCATCCGGCAGTCGACGGGGTTTTTTTTCTTAAAGGAGAAGCGACAACTCAAAAAATTTCCCCCTTCTTCCCGCAAGACCTGGCGGCGCTGGGGACAGAAAGGCCACAGACAGGAAAGTGGGATCGGGGTGGAGGCAGAAGAACGCCAAGGCTACTTCCGCGGCTTAAGGAAGAAGGATAGAAAGAGCCCTGTGGCATTAGCGGCTCCTTAGGGAGGCAGGTGCGCGCGCAGCCAGTCCAGGGTGCGCGCGAGGCGGGGAAAAAGGTGCGTTTTCCTCCCACCAATCTCCTCGCGGGACCTGCTCCTCCCACTGCTCCTAGCGCGCATTGAGCTCGTGGCGCGGGGGGTGGGGGGTGGAGGAAGGTCACTTTAGGATTGTCGCGAGACGCAGCCGTTTAACGGTGAGAACGGGTGCGCGGGGAAGGAAACCTCGCGCGCTCCCTTAGAGCCGTTTCCTGATTGGTTGAAGTAAGGGGTGGGGGAGGGAATCCAGGACGTCGCTGCGTGAGAGACCACGACGGGCAGGGCGAAGAAGCCGTCCCTCCCCTCTGATTGGTCCGCTGAACGTCTGTGGCGGGCGCGCGCGCGCCGCCAGCCGTCGCGGGCCTTGAGTGGCAGGGGGCGGGGGGGGTGCCCTCGGAGCCGGGCAGAGGGGAGGGGGGGAAAGAGGAGCGCAGAGTGAGATTGAGCCGGACGCTCCGGGAGGCGAAGGGGGCGGGGGGAGCAGCGCCGCGGCCGCCGCCGCCTCCGCCTCCGCCGCCTGGGACGAGGGGGTGGGGGACGGACGAGCCCCGATGCCGGGGGAGACGGAAGAGCCGAGACCCCCGGAGCAGCAGGACCAGGAAGGGGGCGAGGCGGCGGCGGCCAAGGCGGCTCCAGAGGAGCCCCAACAACAGCCCCCTGAGGCGGCGGCGGCGGCGGCGCCTGCGGGGACCACTAGCAGCCGCGTGCTGAGGGGAGGTCGGGACCGGGGCCGGGCCGCTGCGGCCGCCGCCGCCGCCGCTGTGTCTCGCCGGAGGAAGGCCGAGTATCCCCGCCGGCGGAGGAGCAGCCCCAGCGCCAGGCCTCCCGACGCCCCAGGGCAGCAGTCCCAGGCCGCGAAGCCCCCGTCTCCAGCTCAGGGCAAGAAGAGTCCGCGACTCCTGTGAGTAACGCAGTCTTTCAGGCGGTGGGAAAGACCCCCCTCTGTCCGCACGCAACCCTCTCGGCTCCCGTAGCGCCCACTCCACGTGACATCCTGCCTGCTCTGCCCCCTGCCGGCTCGCACGCCAGATGTCACGCCGCTCCCCTGCTCGCTGTCTTGTCGCTGCTCTTTGGCCCTCCCCCGTGTCCTCGGTCTGTGGGGCCGCTTCCCCTCTCCCTGCAGTCGTCCTTTGTGGGATGCACCTCTTTTGCTCCTTGGGACCTTATTCTTCCCTGCCGCCGCAGGCTTCGCCCGCACTCTGGCACCTGCACTCCCTTTGTCAGCCTGTCCCTTCCCCTCGTACGGCGGCTCTCCAGTATTACATGACATCCCCATTGGGAAATCCACAGCACAATCTTAGCCTTCAAAAGTGTGTGTCTCCCCCCCCCCCCATTAATTAGCCCAAGGGCTAGTTGTACTAGTAGCTTCGTAAAGCTTTTTCCGCTCTGCTAAATGTTCACATCACGTTTCACCTGCTTTAGGAATCTGGTACTTAGTAGGGTAAAACGCAGCTCTGCCAGTTTTAAGTGTAGTCTTTCATACAACAAAATTAGCTGGGTATTTTTTTGGTGTTTCTTTGTTTTTTTAGTTTTTGCTTGTCTGCTTGTGCTTATGTTTTAATGTAGGAACTTCGTTCTTGAAACTTAGGCTGCTCTGAAAGGAATTACTTTATTACCTAGAGATAATGGAGGGACTAGGAACGTACATATTTTAAGTTGTTAGTATTAAAATGTTCCTATGTTGAAAATACCGAAGTGCGTGTGTTTGTAAATTGTAGAAGTTAATCATGTGAGTCATCGAATTCGTTACTGAAAACATCGTTTGTGTCTTTTGACTTTCGAGTGAAAAAAATTGATAAAAGGAGAAGTTGGATTGGGGGAATCGCAGTTTTAAGGGTCCCCTCGCGTAGAGATTATGGCAAGATTTGGCTCTTACCACGTTTAAAACTTCAAACACACCCGTTCACAGTTAGGAATAAGTCTGACTTGCTTGCCTTAGAAGCGTCTCAGAAAATTCAGAGGTATATTGCGGTATTAGATGTGCTTCAGATTTTTGAGTGTTACTGAAGTTAATATAATTTAGAGAATTTATTGTGTGACTGCAGGGCTGTGGACAACAGAGATCTGTACTTACAAATCACTTGGCTGCAATTAGGATTCTAATTGCTATAGATGAACTTCACAGTCACAGAAATTTTAAGATTCTCTATTTCATCTCACCAATTTGAAAAGAGCTGTCATTACCCTTACTTGGATTAAATTCCTTGAACAAATTTGTTAAACTGCATATGCCTTAGTTTTATCATCTGTAGGAAATAATGTTAATCCTTATGAGATGAATTAATGAGAAGTATAGCATGTGAAGAACTTAACCAAGCCTGGTACATAGTACATACAATATTTGCTAAAAATTACTGTTTTGAGTGGTAATGGAATGATAGAGGTACAAGTGGTGTGTAGTGATTTTCATGTAAACTCTGCAGAATTGGAATTTTTTAAAATTTATTTCTGTTGCCATACCTGGGAAGGTTAATAACTTAATATATTTTTTAAATGCCCTTCCATCCTCACCTACCCATTTGAGAGTTAAATATACCTAGATTTCCTTACCACGTTTCCCTCCCACTGTTCTACCAGTTCTACTTACAGAAATGATATCTTAAGATAACGACACCTAGTGCAGTAGTTTTTTCCACTTCATGTTTTGTTTTGTTTTTTTCATTAACTCTTGGCAAAAAAGTACTTACGAGTTTTTTTATTTCTACAGTATAAATGTTAAAACAGTTGAACTTGGATGAAGATGACTTAATTAAATCCCTTCAATTTTTTCTCCATGTTGTTCCCTGTGGGGAGAGAAATATAGTCTTAATTCTTAGTGTCCCTCCCTCTCACATCCAATGTCATGAAAGGTAGTAGTGTTCCTTTGCCTTTTCTTAGCCTCAGAACTGTCTCTTTATTATGTATTTTAAGTTACACAGTTTTGATCAGATTGTTAAAATAAATTTTCAGGGATAATTTATTTGTTACACATTTTTAATTTACTGCATGCCCTGGAAATCATGATTGAGCGGTAACTGGGCCTGGTACTGTGCTGTCATCAGCACAGTAATAGGTTTTATAAAGGTAAATGAGACCTGGCCCTAGTCTTCAAGGACCTTGCAGTATGAGGGGAAGATGCATTGATTAGTGGAGGTTTGTCAAATGTACACATGGTTTACAGATTTTCAGAGTGATAAACTTTAAAACTAAGTAAGAAATTTAATACTTTAAGACATTTCATGAGATTTTGGGTATCAGTTTATTGAATCCTGGTCAAGTACCTTCTGACCTTCTCTATATTCCTAACAACATGTGACCCTTTTTAAAAAGGAAGTAAGAGATTTATCTCTTAATTACTTGTTCTATTCAGGTTCTTTTACCATATCCCACCATTTCCTCCTATAAATTCTCAGTAATAGCTGTTTCACCTACATTTGTTTCTCTTGAGTGAAGAGACAGCAAAATGTACAGTAGTTTAAAGGGTCAATAAATACAGAGATTTGGATTGATTGAAACCTCTTTCTGCTAGAAGGCAAAGTAGTGCAGTGGAAAAAGCATTGGACTGTATAGTCAAAGTTTCTGGTCTCAGCTTTCTACTACTCAGTAAGTGACCCCAGGCAAGTCACTTAAGCTCTTTAAATCTGTGTCTTTATCTATAACTGGTAATTTATGATTTGTTACAAGCATAAATGTGTATAAATGATAATTAGGTTACAGTTTTTATACACATTTATGTTTATAACATTTTCATTTGCATTGAAACATTCAGAAGTTAATGAAAAGAGCAGGAAATCCTTGTGAAAAGAAATAATTTTTTAGTGCAATTTGCTCAAGAGAAAGGCATAAAGTTAAATGCTAAAATCATTTTAAAATAAAACTTAAAGCCAATTATAAGGAAAGAAACCAAATTTGAAGAAAGGTTATATCTCTCAGTACTACTTAAGAATTAGGCTCATCATTTGCTGCATTTTGGTCCATAAACTCCAGAGTTCAGATTCTTGTATTTTAAATATAGATGTTTATATACATGTCTAATTTTAAATGTATATAGTACCAGTTTTTTTCTGATTCAGAAAGTTAAAACACCCATGCTTTCTATTAATATGGAAACTAATTGTTTAAGACTAGTTTAAATTGCAAAAAGGCTTCTTTTCATTCTACCATGATAATAAGTCCTCTGCATTTCATATCCAATGCATTTCATAAAAAACTTCAATAAATACTTTTTTAAACTTTAATTTAGCTATTGAGTAACCCTATTGGCTAAAACTGCATATTCGTAGAGATACTCCTATAGGTTCAGCTGGGTTCCAAATGAAAGAAACAAATATTGCACTATTTTCTGGGATATGGAACTCATTTTTGCTTAATTTTTTTCTTAAGGTAAAATAGTAATAAAGCTTCAGGTGACACGTTCTTGCTATATCCTTTTGTAAGGAAAAGGTGAATGTCCTGGATAGTGAGAATGAAAAGGCAGTAATATTCTGAATTGAAACAGCTTTTGTGGCTCTTTGAAGAAAGTTACAGTTGTAGAAGTTTAAAATTCTGAGTTTTCCTCCCAGGGCAATCAGTATGGTAATAGAAACATCTTCCCATTCCAAAAGGTTTTTGGAGGGAAGTTTATTGTGTAATGTTTCAAAATTTAGGTATTACATCTGTATTTCTCTTTAGACTTGTCTTGTGTTAATTATTAATTGGGACATTGATGGTATAATTTAAAATAAAGTAATACCCAGCTTTTTAAAAAGTGGGATGAGAAAATGACAGCTATTCTTTCTAAAGAGAACAGAATTTGTATTACATTGTTTCTCTGTTTGGATATTCTTTGTGACATAACAGTCCTCACTTACATCAGGTTTACTTTCAAAAAAACAAAAAACAAAAACAAAAAAACTTTGGACTAGCTCAGAGATACCATGTAACATCTTTATAGTAAAGATCCAAGACCGGTGGACTTTTGAAGTTGGGTAATGGCTCCAGCTTAGAGGTTTGTTACACTGTGCTTAACAGTTAGGAATGAAAGAAATGTTACCAAATTAAAAACATGACAACATTTTTTAACAGTTTATAACACATTAGACTCTTCACTGTTGCTAATTTGTAAAGTACAAGTTATATTAATTTCTGAGGTCCAGTCTGTTGCCTTTATAGAAATAGATTTTGACTTGGGTATACCAAATAATAATTTGGGGTTTTCTGTTAGGTTCATTAAATTTTTATTATGAAAATTGTCAAGTATACACAGAGTACAAAAAATAGTACAGTGAAATGCCCAGTATTTACCACTAGATTTAGCAGTTATCAAGATTTTGTCATGCTTATTACCTTTATCTCCCTGTGCCTCTTTATTTTTTTAAATTTATTTTTATTTATTTATTTATTTTTTGCTGAAGTATTTTAGAGGAAATCTCAAACATTATTTCACCCCTAGTTACTGCATTTGGTAAAACAAGGACATTTTCTTATATAACCACTTAATATAACAAAATCAGTAATATTTTCTTTGTATTAATTTTTTTTTTACAGTTAAAAACTTTTTGAATGATACTTTAGTTGTATGCTGTCAGATATGATAGCTGCATGGTATCTATTTAAATTTACATTAATTAAAATTAAAAATTCACTTCCTAAATTACAAACAAGCTATTTCAAGCACTCAGTAGCAACACATGACTATCATATTGGACAGCAGATATAGAATATTTTCATCACTGCGGAAAGTTCTATTGACCACACTACTCTAGAGGCTTTCTGCATCACTCTGAAGATGAACCTGAAAGAGATAAATATCTGTGTTTTAGGAAAGTACGCAAGATTGTTTATTTAATATTTGGTTCTCATTTCTTTCAGATGTGTAGACAAAGTGACAACTGACAAAGGTAAGACTTGGTCATTCTTAATCTGTCATGTATGTTAACACTGATTACTTTATTATATGATAGGAAATAGAATAAGCTTCAGCCTGATAATTCAAATCATTCCCATTTAAAAGTGACCTTCATTTAGTAAAAAAGAAAATAATTGGCGTAGTTAGAACCTGTTTGGCTAATAGGTTTGGGCTGGTGAAACATTTTGGCATTATCTGGAAACCTAATGATGGGAAATCAGATTATTTAACGTTAATTTATTACAATGTGTTTTTAGCTATTTGCGTTTTTAGTAAAGTAACAAGGAGAGGAATGATACACAATACAGAGTAAAGTGTAGACAAAATCTTGGTACTGGTAGAGGCTCAAATTATAAATGCAGTTTGGAGAATGCGGAAAGAAAAATGTTCTAAGATTTCAGCCTGGTGAATAATTAAATGGGATCATTTGGTTGTTTCTCTTTAAAGAGTGTTACCAAAACAAATATATGTATTAAAGGTGGTCTTCTGCTTATCAGGATTACGAAGGAAAGCTAATGTCCACCTTTTTCTTTTTAAACACTTCTTTAAAAAGATTTCATTCCGGCTTTGCAGATTGGGTTATTAAAATTGCCTCTAATATGCTGGACCAGTTGCTCATTCATTATTCATATAAAATATATTTGTATAAAAAATGCTGTATTTTCTAGTTATTGGCTACATTTCTTGATGCTAAATTCTAATATGCAGCACGCTTTTTAAAACTTGAATAGATATACTCCTAAGCATATTTAATTTATTATGTCTGACAGAAATCTACTTAATAACTGAGGGTTGGCCAATTTATTATATATGTGCATGTGTTTATATATAAAAAATTAAGATTTTTCCCATCACAAAGAATGCTTTGAGAATATGTAAAATACATATAATATGTATAAGGCAAGTTTGAAACCTGGATTTTACGCTACTTAGGAGAATGATACTGTGGTTAGGAACCAGTAACTTGAATTGGTGGCTGCATTGTAAATAATTAGCTATCAGTGATCAGTTTTCTTTTTTCTCTGAATTTTAGAATCTGAGGCTAGTATTTCATAGTTTACCAGGCAGAAGTATTTGTTCTAGGCAAATTTTTTGTGTAGAAAACTTTGCATGACTAACTTGTCTAGCAGATTTTCGGTTTTGTTGCTGCTGTTGCTTGAAAAATAGGGTATGTCTGCCAAGGATGGAAGGTCTTGTGCTCCTTATTCAGAGATCATTTTGAAATGTTATGATGTGATGAAAATGTAGAGACAGGTGGCAATCAAGTTACCAGAGCAGTTTTTATTAAAACAAAAGACAAAACCCCCAACCTGCCTTTATAAGCTAAAAAGTATTTCACGTGTCTAAAGAGTATGTATTACTTGGGTTGCCTTGAGGAGAACTTGGAGGATGTGGTGGAAATTTTGAATCCCTGTTGGAGATAAATTAATTGCTCTTTGTGTAGATGTCTTAAACCAGAAAAGTTGGCTTGTTAGGTAGTTGTGCAGCTGTGGCGAGATTACAACTGCATTCTGGGTAACCTCAGTTTCAAAATCAATCCCACTCTAATTCACTCGTTAAATGCTCGATCTAGAGTTAGAGCTCAGGGTTTGAATTCAAGTTCTGCCTTTTATTGCAAATTCAGTACCTGGAATCCAATGAACACGCAGTAAAAGGTAGCTGTTTGTAAAATTTTGAAAAAATACTCTCCAACGCCTATCTTCATCTCTTTTGGTTTATCTATTACGGTAGCTGTTCAACTTTGAGTAGTAAATAGGTACATAAGAACTGATTCTTACATATATTTTAACAGCTAGATCAGGAAATAAAGAAATGAAGGCTGTGATGGTCACTTTTCTCTGTGCTCTGTAATATTTAGAATTCACCTCAATTCTTTTCCTTTTTCTTGTCACTTCTCAGAAAGTTGTTCTGTTACTCAGGAGTTTTCATGTTCAGTCTGCTGAATTTTAACTGAAGTAACTTGTACTTGTTTCAGAGGTTGAGGTTTTTTCAAAACTTTGAACAGGTTTTGATATTTTCTAGAGGTACGACTAGCTCTCTGTTTCATGAATATTGACAAGATGTTTTCAGGATTGTTTGTTTTGTTTTCAGGATTGTTCTTATTTACTCCAAACGACTTGAAATATATTTTCCTTCAGTCAAAAATAAGAACCTTTGACATGTTTGAACAAATAATTTTGTACACACACAAAAAGCAACTTGCTGTTGTTTTAAAATTACTAAGTTGCAAAGCGCCATGTTCATTCGTCACACTGAAGTAATAGTGGTCCCTGTTCCTGCTATATTTATTTAATCCTGATGGGTATATATAAAAACAAGTGGAAATTTGCAAAGATAGTGTTTATTAATTCACTAAACAAGTAATTGTTGAGCATCCCACTATGTGTCCAGCACCATTCTAGATACTAGATTGTGCTGATAATCAAATCAGTTCAATGAAACACTTGATTAAAATGTGATACAGTGTTTGATGAAGTTAAGATGTCAAGGGAAGACCTCTTTTGAGAAGGTGACATTTGAGCTGAGACCTGAATATGCAAATAGATAGCCAGATGAAGAGCATCCCACACAGAAGAAGCAAAAAGGGGAAAACTTGAAACATGAAAGCTTAGTTTACCACTGCCAGAGGATTATCATCATCACAGCAGAGCTTCCAAGAGTGTTAGCAGAAATTTTGAGGGATGGAGCCTGGCAGGGTCCTTTTTTTTTTTTTGAGATTTTATTTATTCATTTGACAGAGACACAGCGAGAGAGCGAACACAAGCAGGGGGAGTGGGAAAGGGAGAAGCAGGCTTCCCGCAGAGCAGGGAACCCGATGTGGGGCTCAATCCCAGGACCCTGGGATCATGACCTGAGTCGAAGGCAGCCGCTTAACAACTGAGCCACCCAGGCATCCCTGGCAGGGTCCTTTTTAACTTGGCTTTATGTTTTCGTTCTGTTCTCTGTTTTCAACTAATACTATTACAGTAATGAAGTATAGCCAGTTTGTTTCAGTGTAGTTTATTAGTAATTCTAGTGTTACTTTATCCACTAATTTTCTTTCACTTTCAAAACTCCAACTAAAACTGTGCAAAATAAAGCCTTATTAAAAAAGGGAGACTATAATATCTTAATGTTTACTAAAGTGAGTGTCATGTGTTTCATGGAATAATTAGAGTCAAATGTAGGTGCTGGAGTCATCAGTGTGCTGGTTTATTTGTTGCAGGACCTCTTAAGAGATTTTGATTGTGAGTAATAAGCAATATAAATACTGGGACGCCTGGGTGGCTCAGTCAGTTAAGTGTCTACCTTTGGCTCAGGTCATGATCCCAGAGTCCTGGGATCGAGTCCCACATAGGACTCCTTGCTCAGCGGGAAGCCTGCTTCTCCCTCTGCCTCTGCCTGCCACTCCCCCTGCTTGTGCATGCTTGCTCTCTATCTCTGACAAATAAAATCTTTAAAAAAAAAAAAAAGGCAATATGAGTACCAAAATACGCAGTAACTACCTAACTTAATTGATTATAAGATAGCCCCCCCCCTTTTAATGGATGGTTCATAAAATTAGAATTTGTGGAAAACATATCTTGGAGCACTGGGTGCTTGAAAATTTGTATTAAACTCTGGGTCTCACCTTTCATTCAAAATCGTTTTACTATTTTTAGTTACTCTTGTTATGGATGGGGTATATTCTATAATTTGTTTAACCCTTACCTGATTAAAGGACACTTGATAATTCTCAGGTTTTTTCTCTAGGATTACAGGTGGTCTTTTTGAAAGTCTTTTCAGATATACAATACATATGCAAAAGTACACTTAGCATAAACGTACAGCTGTGAATATTCACAAGGCAAGCTCAGTTATGTAATCATCACCCAGCTCAAGAAATAGAACCAGATCAACTACCCCCAAGTATAACCACCATTCTGACTTTGAACGGCACAGATCTGTTTTGCCATTTTTTGGATTCTATATAAATTGAATAACAGAGTATGTACTCTTGGGTAGGACTTCTTTGCTCACCCTTATGTGAGGTTTCTCTAGGTTGTGTTTGTTAGAGATTGTTCATTTTCATTGTTGCATAGTATTCCATTGTGAAAGTATGATTTATTCATTTTACTGTTGATTGATATTTGGGTAGCTTTTAGTTACTGGCTTTTATGACTAGTGCTGTGATGCATATATTATTAATATGATTTTATTGAGACATAACTTACATGTCATAAAATACACCCATTTCAAGTCTAATTCTATCCATATAGGTTTTCCTTCTCTGGGCATTTTATAAATGGACTTGTCCATAGAATATGTGTTTTTTGTTTTTGTGTCTGGCTTCTTTCACTTTGCATAATTTTGAGATTAATTCATGTTGTGGCACATGTCAATATTTTCATTCCTTTGTGTGGTATTTCTTTGTATGGAAATACTCCATTTGATTTATCCATTTATCAGTTAATCCACTTTTTAGCTATCATGAATAATGATAGTGTGAATATTCATGGGCAAGCTTTTGTGTGGATGGACGTTTTTATTTCTTTTGGGTATATACGGGTAGGTATCTGCGAGTGAAATTTCTAGATCGTATATGGTAAATGTATGTTAAAGAGACTGGCGAAGAGTTTTCCATAGTGGCTGTGACATTTATGTTCCCTAGTGATAGATGAGGATTTCTGTTTCTCCACAACCTCACCAATGTTTGTTATTGTCATTCCACTATTCTGTCAAGCCAGCTACTTTAGGATGGTGGGGTACATGGTAAGACCAGTGAATTCCATGAACCTGGGTCCATTGCTGCATTTCATTTGCTGAGAAGTGAGTTCCTTGTTCAGAAGACACGCTGTGTGGAAAACCATGACTGGGATAAGGCATTCTATAAGTCCACAAATGGACTTTTTACAGAAGCACTGTAGGCAGGGAAGGCAAATCCATATCCAAAGTGTTGATTCAACTAAGATCAAAACATTTTCACTTCCATAATGGAAGTGGTCCATTTTTTTTTTTTAAAGATTTTATTTA